CAGAATAGAGCAGAATTAATTTGCATTCCAAAGAAACCCAGATGAGATTCTTACCAAGGCTACAGAAAACAACAGTTTAACTATGCTATGAACCCAAATTAAAAACGAGCTAACAAGGAATGGCATGGCATGAATTTTGACACACTAGTCGAATTGAGACCTAAATCATGGCCTCCAACCCAATGGGTAGCTTGTGAAAGAATAGCTCAAAATTCTTCAAGAATGCAAGCATAAGCCAAGGAAAATGCTTTAGAAAAAAAATCCATGTGGACAAATTTCCCATTTTCGCAATAAATTTGGTTAGCCAGATGTTTTCAAAGATATAACTTAAATTAAGAATTTAAAAGATTAAGCGAAATCAAATCAAGGAATTACGGAGGATCTAAACGTTTCTTGCATACAATTTGAGTTCCAATAATGGCCTCTATAACTAATATTACATTCCAGTAACTTAAATGTATTCCAAGCTCTAGGATAAAACATCAAGAAAACTAAAGCCATTTTGAGGTTGAAGACTCCAACTTAAATTTAAGACCTTCATAGTCTTAATGGTCAAGAAACAGCACATAGCAAAATCAAAGGTAAATCCCTAGATTAGGGGGACATATATACAAAGTCCATCTAAATTATATCCTTAAAGTACCATTTTGTCCTAGAGAAGACGCCTGAGCTAACAACTCCTTCATTTGTGGCAAAGGACACTGTAGCACAACACAGGAGGCATATAACCACCCAAATGTTCTGCAACCCTAAAGGGTATGGTTTGGGTTTTGCACCATTTCATCCACTGATTCTCAATAATAATCCACAAACAAAGCAAGCTCTAAATGAGGGACATCATAGCTCTACAGGTTTCATGGCCAGACCCTTTGTAGGTAACTAGATGCAAGTATACCAACAAGGATTTCTAACAAAGAAGCAACTGGATAGCTGTCACAAAACTGGTTGAATACTTTAAAAGTCAGGCTGAAGACAAAACAAATGTCACTCTAGAATGACAATTTATATCAAACTAAACAATCTAAACAAGGACCACATTCTGCACACCAAATTTTAAACACAAAATAGGTAGCAGCATTAGCATCAACAACAACAATAACAAGAAAATCAATCTCAAATACACGGCTAACAATTACAAAGGTACAATAATCAGATTCACTTCACAGGGACGAGTACTCATCACCGCCCTAACAAGCCAACAACAATCTCAATCTCCACCCTCCCCAATGGCCATTTGGGAAGCAGGAGATAACTTCACGCCTCAACACAAGTAACTAAACTCGAGAGTTATCGGCGTGATGATGTGGTGCCCTTGACTCAAATCAATACCCGGTACTCATCAAACACAACAATATGGCAAGGAATCTAATGATGAGTACAACTAAAAGATGGAACCTTATCCGAGACGGATAAGCATCACTCGGATATATGGGATCATGAATGGATGAATGCATGTATATGCATTTATGAATGAATGCCTTTATGCGCATGCATGTATGAATGCGCATGTGTGCATGCATGAATGCTCATGTGTGCATGCATGTATGCGTGTATATGCTCATGTATGTCGATGTTTGCATTCATATATGAATGCCCAAATGAATACTCAAACAAACAGACCTAATGTGGAAGGCCTTATACATCCTGCCACAACCAAAACCAAGCATACTACCACAAGGGACCAAGTTTCAAACAAGGTCTTAAGGGCAGATTAATTTCAAAAATTCTCACCAACAGCAGATAACAGGAACTAACTGAATTACTATCCCATCAAAGTGAATCAAGGAAAATACAGGCAACATAATTTACCTTGAAAATCAGCAAGGTATAGCTAGAAACTGATATGGAACAACAATCACATTTTGCCTAAAGACCTAACCAACTGTGACAAGAGCAGAATTTTGCAGTTAATTTCAAAAGGTAACAAGGCTGCTATTTTTCTTAAGTTTGGCATCAATAAATCAAAATGTAATTCATCACATTTTAAGTCCAAGAGAGGACCTCATACTGATGTAACTTCTTACTAGAGTTTAGCGTGCAGAGACACTCCAAATCACAACTTATAGGTGGCGGACAAAGAAAGAAATTGATGATGCAGCTGTAACTAATTTTAGCACCCAATTTTATTCTTATGCACGCAAAATGGTGGAGCATCCGACAGCTAAAATAGCAACTCAAACGCACTTGAACTTAGCCTAAAACAGACTAGAAAACAGCTGAATAAAAGGGCAAAATACTGGTCAGATTCTAAACACAAAGGTTACAACAAAATTTTTCTCCTTGAAAATGGTAGAACTGGTTTGAATGCTTAACCGGAAAATTAACACTCTATCTCTTAGCTTTCTATAAAACCAGGAATGGCTTTAATCCAACATCTACAGAAGAAGTTATGTACATAATACTACTTCCAGATCAGGCTGCCAGAATTCAAATCAATTACATATGGATTGAGCTGGAAATTTTCAGAAATTAGGGTAGTTCCAAACCAAAGTTTAGTATAAATTCCATCACAATTTGAGACCAAAACAAGGGAACGATCAGCCTTGCACACCTCAGACAACGCAGAAATGAGCTCAAAAACAGCAACTTCAGGTATGGACATCTAGAAGCAAGTCTAGGCAAAAATATTGGGTAGACTATTTAGCAGGAAAAATTTCACTCGTGTGAAACACTATCCTTTCCTGCAAGAGCATTTGGATATGTACAGAAACTAAGTAGTATCAACCACAGCCTGGACACCAGCATGACATGGACACACATAATATATAGACTCAAATCCCATAAGGATTTCCGTCAAAACATGAAAATTCCTGATTGATCATTGTCGCTTCACATCTAAGTTCATTACACAGGCAAATCAAGTTATCCACTCAAAAATCATCAAGTATCAAACAGATGTATTGAACCAGAGTCATACGATTGAAACACGAGAAACGAACCAATTTAATTACCATTACGAATGCAAAATAACTTGTTTTAAGTCTGAAACAAAAGCTTACAAGCAGATTCACACAGACACTAAAATCATCAACCACTCCAAAACTGAAGGGAACTGGAGATTTAGAGAACAAAAGCATCAAGAATTGGAAATGATTTCCGGAGTGGAAGAAGAGGGGAGGAGCTGAAAAGCTTAGAGTCCCTCTTCATCACACACCCAAAACGGTAAGCCTAAATGCAAAACAGATTTGAGCCTAAGCACAATATCACATCATTAGAGGATACAATGACACAAGGAACCATAAAACTAAGTCAATCAATTTTGCAAGAAATTTTTTTTTTTTTTTTTTTTTTTTTTTTTTTTTACCAACAGAGCATTTAAAATCCCCAAACACAAATTTCAGATTTATCATTATCATCTCAGTTATCATCCAAACTAAAAGTTCCAGAACTAGATCAATTTCACCAACATTTACAATCAAAATCGTCCCTTGTATAACCCCATCACTCGTCTCACCACGGTTCTAAGATCCATTGGCTAGCCAAGTCCAAAACAAATCCTCGGTATTTAATCAAACCTAGACTCTGACATCACAAAATCTTAATTAAACCTAAGCTCTGATACCACTAAATCTGTCACGCCCCAGAACCCAAATCCGAGGTGCAACAGACGCCGTGCACTCGTGAGACGGGTCCCACAAACGCACAAGGCTCGGAACTTATTCAAATCCCAAACTCTATTCCATAAATCTAGGTCCAACATGACTTAAACTTAAAATCACAAGGTAAAATCTATCTTACAAAAACATGATTTATTTCTAAAATTATATCAATCTCGAAATGGCTAGC